TCAGACTCTTCTTCAGGCTTCTGGTAGCATCCCTGTTCCTCCCAGCCAGTCTCTTCACCTAGACAGAACTCTCATCACACTGGCACCAATGACAAAGGCCTTCATTTCTCATGGATCTCTAGTTCCCTTTCTTTCACACTACATTTCTTTTCAGTCACAAGTTCTAACTGGCATGTCAGACAAGGAAAGGCTCCACAGGAATTGGCACAGACACAGGAGAGAAGAGCAGGGTCTGGCTGCCTCCCCAGCCTCCTAATCTGATCTTGCCTGTGTGCTGTGCTTTCACATACACATCACTCCTCCAGTGTCCCACCACTCCTGTAGCCTCTTGCTCCCTCTAGCCCACATCCTTTCTGCATCCATTCTACCAACTGAGCCTATCAATGGCTTATCCTTTGCATTGGTCTCAAATCTCTCAGTTTCTGTGCTTTCTGGAACTCTCCTAGGGCTGGCTGTTTGTTAAACTCAGGTAGAAATAGTTGTTTCAGTTTGGGGATTTGTGCATTTTTTCTTCAGAAGAAAGGAGGATGAAGAGGCTGTTGGTGCCCACTACTGTGCAAAGATGGAAGACTTGCTGCAGCAATCTGACTTTGTTATGTTGGTTGTGAACCTGACTCCTGAGACTCACAAACTGATTGGGAAAAAGGAGCTGGGGCTGATGAAACCCACAGCTACTCTTATAAACATCAGCCGAGGTAGGAGGATCTGAAATCACTCCAGATTGTGGCTCCACACTTAAAGGTCATGTTTTGTCTGATTGTGTTGATATTCCCCTCTCCAACCTCAGTCTTTAATATCCCTCTGTTGTTTGAGTCATGAAGTAGCTGGCAGTCTACAAATGTGTGACTTACATGGATCATATCCTATGTCTTCAAAGACCCTGTGGAAATTAGGGATGCTCAGCAGATGGTTGGTTCTCTTTGGCCTTATTCTAGAGACAGAGGGTTTTAGTGGAAATAACTGAAAGGTTTATCATCAGTGAGGGACAACGGGGTACAAGGGAAAATATTAAGTAACATTTGGAGCAGCAGTGTAGAAAGGAAGCCTCACATGGGATGACAGCTCTGTTGGCACTGAATGAGCATATGAGAGAGATTATCAGTAAACAAAGCAGAGATAAAAGAGTGGAAAATCTGCAGAGAATAAATGATTTGTCTATAATAATACAGGAAGTGTCAAAATGAGGAAAAGACTGAAACTGGTCTCATCCCAGGAAAAATCTTATGCAGTGGACTATAATCATCCTATAATTAAAGGTTAAGAAGTAAAATCTTTGATTTGTTTGGTTAATAATTATTAAAAAGGCATTCTATTTTCTATGAAGATAAAGATCCTCTAGTTTTTCTCACTTGACCCTGGAGACCTTCCCCCCCCCACCCCATAGGTAAAAATGTATTCATTAACTCATCAGGATATCAAGATTTAATTTCAATGCAGGTGCAGTTATTGATCAAGATGCATTGGTAGAAGCTCTCCAGAATAAGGTTATTAGGGCTGCAGCTCTGGACGTGACATACCCTGAGCCTCTGCCAAGGTAAAGAAACTTCTTTCCCAGTCTGTTAATCTGAAATGTTTTAAACAGTGTTCAAAGTGTGCTCATAATTTTGCTCTCCACGGGGAGACTCATTGTGTTAGGGCAAAACCTCAGACTGTCTTGCACAATCATAAATAAACAACAAGTTATTCCCCTTTCCCACCTCTGATGGGTCTTTGCCAGCCTGGCTCATGGGCCAGGCAATGAGCAAGATGGATGGAGAAGAAGAAACATGTAAGCAAGCATCCCCCAGCTTTGTGCTCGTTCTGTGCTTTGGTCTGAATGTGCTGTTGCTGAGGTTCAGTTCTTCACAACTAGCATGGGATAGCAGCAGAGTAAGTTCCTTGTGTAACACATTCTGTTCCTTCCATTTCTTCCAGAGATCATCCTTTATTAAACCTGAGTAACGTCATCATAACCCCGCACATTGGAACCGCAACAGTCCAGGCCATCTGTATGATGGCAGAAGAAGCAATAGCAAACATGCTGGCTGCTCTCAATGACCAGCCCATTCCCAGCGAAGTGTTTCCCAAATGATGAGTGCCAGATGATGCCACTAAATTTCCTGTGTACTGGAAAGCACTATTTCTTACCCCTTTTAAGCTGAATAAAAAAGTAACCTGTTCCTGCACTGCTCATCATGATGCTGCAAAACTGTCAGACTTGATCTGTTCTGTTACTTACAATTTGTGAAAAACGCCAGTCACTTGTTTTAAATTTTTAAAAGTTTAATAGTAATAAAATGGTTATAAAAATAGTAATGCAAATTAGAGCAATAAGAATTTGGACAATCAAAGTTAGGACAATAAAGGACAACAAAAGCAAAGAATTATGAATGTTTGGATGCTTTCCTCTTGAAAGCATGGCTCCCTAACAAAGGATTAACCCTTAAAAGCAATAGACTGTTGCATATTCATATATCTCATACATGATGCATACATTCCTTTCAAATTAGAGGTTTCTCTGGTTACTGTTTACTTCCCCCCCCTTAATCCTGTTGGCACCTCAAAGACAAGAAGAAGGTAGTAGAAAGTGTGTATTTTCAGATAAGGAGGCACTAATTCTTCTCTTGCAGATTTAGGTGTCTTGTTGCTGTTATCACTGTGCGAAGAATTTCTCGAGCTAGTTAGGAAAAGTATCTTATATCACTATAGTTTTTATTTTAATACTATGTTATAGCCTAAAAATATATTTAACACACTACTGAAAAGGATTAATATAGTATAAATTTTTAACATAACACATAAAATACATAAAAATTTTAATATTTGCAAAAAGCCAATCACAAAATACACATTTTTTACACAATTAAAAAAAATAAAGTGGAACTAATAAAAGAAATTTGAAGATTTTAACTGAGCAGTTATGCATTTTGGTATCTTCAGTCTATTTCGGTGAATAGCAATGTTCTGTTCCCAGTTCTTGCTGCTACATAATGATAAGCAAGTGCATCTGGCAATTTGTGTAACACTCTCCAATCTGTTGAAGATGAACAAGCATGGATTCCCTGCAGAAATTTGACTGTATCCTGAAACACTTTTCAGCCAATATTCCAATATTCTATTTTTATATGAAAACACTGAAGAAATGTTCTTTAAAGTGATCATAGGCCTAAGGTTTTCTAATTTAGGAAGAGCCCTGCTTCATCTACATGTTAAAGCAAAGCCAATTGTTGAAAAAGTGTCTTTATTTTTCATGAAGGTATCCCTTGAAAACCAAAGTAAATTCCAAGAGATTTAGTTCCTCCGTGCAGATACAAATGATGCTTTTATCTTTACTGGCCATGAGAGAAAAGTAGAATTACCATCGAAATCACTTTGGTGAGGGTATAACCTAAAGCAAAATTAGTGATCAGTCCTGACTTGCAGTCCAGGGCCAAGGTGCTTCTTACATTCTTTCCTATTAGCAATCAACAAATTCAGAAAATTCAATAAAATGGTTGTCACCTTCATAAAGTCAGGAAGACTTTCCATTATTTTGCAACATGGTCAGGCTCCCTGAAGGGATGGTAAAATGAAGTTCTAGCGCAGGAAGTGTAGGCAGGTCAAGAGTTAGACATTCCATTGGAAATCCTAAAATAATACTAGCAAGGCAACAGAACTGCTGCAGGATTGCTACTCCAAGATCTTCAGCTCTTGAACACTCCCCACAGCTCTTCCCAAAATTGCTATTGAAAATCAAAGGTAGCTATATATAGTCTGTCAAAAAAACCCAAAGTAACTCAATTCACAGGCCCTCTTGGGACCAAAACCAGATGGTCAGGGATTCTGAGAAAAAAAAAACCAAACAAAAAATCAAACAATTTAGAATATGTATGTCCTTCTTGGAAGACACTTGCCTAAGCATATATGATTTTGTTATTTTGGTAATTTACAGTAGGCTTAGGAAAGGGCTCTGTAGTCACTGGGGTCTCTTCAGGACAGGTGGCTGCAAAAAGCATTTAAAAATTAACCTGATAACTCAAAGTTCATGATGAAGCTGTGCAATTTATTTTCATGACGTAAATTTGGCACATTTTTCTAAACTACTTAGACAGGGTACTTTGTGATTTCAGGGTAGCAAAGGAGATTTATTGCACTATATACTGCAAGCTACTGAGGATCTTAAACTAAGTAGTTAATGGCAAGTGTTGTGTTTTGAGCATGGTAGCAGTAATACTACTGCTTGTAATTCAGTCCTAGTAGTCAGATTTATAAACCCCCCCTCTGCATTTTGTATTATTATAGCATATTTTATTACCAATGGATTGTTCCTTTTCCCCCTGTGTTGTTTTTTTGCCCTAGTTTCTTTTGTCCTAGTTGTTGCTTTTTTTGTTGTTTTGGTCTAGTTGTCCATCTCCCCACAGACCTGCCCTTTTGTTCCCTCCTCCCACTGAATGTCAATTCGTCCCCTTTCTCTAGAAACTTCCCTATCAATTTTGTATCCTTCAAAACGCCATTGGTTTGTTTAAGTTGTTCTCCTTCCCTGTAATCTCCTATCGGTTTAAATATTGTATCCCCCTCTTTGTGTTCCACCGGGAGTTTCTCCCAATTGGCTAAAGATTGTGTCCTCCCCTGGACCTCCCCCGTTTATAAGTTGGTGTATGGTTTTGATTTAGTGTATTTCTGTCCCTAACAGCTGTCTGGGGGTGGTCACTCTGGCTGACAGTGTTGGGAGTTAGTCGGGCAGAAGAAATCCGGCACAGCAGCATAATATGGAATCTTAGATCACGGGGACAGAACTTGTTCAGACTGATTATGTGAATACCTCTGTGTATGTATGTGGGCACCTGTGTGTATGAGTATAAGTGGTAGCATATTTAAAAGACCTGCTTGCTTGTCTTGGTTTTCTTATCTTCCTTTGTGGTTTACAGGATCTCTTGACATAAATGTCATTAAACAGGACATGGCAGTGATTATTCCTAAAAATGTCTGGAAATAATAATATGTGTTTCTTCTGACACTTTGTGTCTTTCTTCTTTGTGCAGATCATGGAAGAAGAAGAACTACCTTGGCTTTTGGTAAATGAACTTGGTGGCATACGTGGGATATTGCGTAGCCATGTGCCATTCCTGAAGAAACATTTCCACCTCATCACCATGAAGGAATTTCTTGAAAACAGAAAGGATGTAGGCAAAAAGGTCCAAGCAATCTATTTGTGGTGGCACAAACCGGTCATTGACAAAGAGCTCCTCCAGAGCCTGCCAAACTTAAAAGTGATTGCGAATTCAGGGGTGGGGATGGATCACTTGGATCTGAAGCTTATAGCTAGCTTTGGTGTGAAGATGGCTAATGCTCCACGTGCTGTTTCCAGCACCACAGCAGATACTGGGATGGCTTTGCTGCTAGCCTCTGCTAGAAGACTTGTGGAAGGTAACATCTCAATTCTTTTGTGGCTTGTAAAAATAATACAAGATTCGCCTGCTATTAATATGACTTTTCTTATGGTTTCCTGTGGTGTACACGGTTTTACATGAAATGTGAAAATGTAAGTATGTTGGCTTGGCAAACAGAATAATCAGTATTTTAATATATTTTATGTATAATAGGTATACCTAAATTATTACATTTGGCATACATAGCATTTATTTTCAAGCAGATATAAATGAAACATGATGGCATGACAGTGATATGGCCAAAGATCAGGTATCACTGAAGTCACAGCCTAGCAGAAGAACTTAGTGTGGGAGGCAGCAATGGGATATAACAAGATTATATAAGATTGTGGGAGATCCTGAGTTAGAAGGAACCGACAAGGCTGATAGAGGCATGGGCATATTCTTGGAGACTGAAGTGTCTTGGTGCAGAATTTGGGCATTTAAGGGGCATTAGGGAGTAATAATAGAGGCAGCTTACTTCAGTTTTTGTTAATAGTGTCCTTTCTAGTTTCATCAACAATTTTTTATTGCTATTTTGTCAAATAGACCTACCCTTGGCTTGGTTAGAAAGCCTCTTTCTTCAGGAAAAAATCCTTCAGATTTATCCTTTTATATTTACCTGACTTTGACATGCCATCTGTACTACAGGATTAGTAGAAACTCAAATGGGATTTGCATCCCTCTAAGTTTGTTTCTACCTCACAAAAGGGAGACAGTTTAAAAGAAAGATTAATTTATTGTTCCCATCTACTTGAACTATCCCTGGTGGCATTTCTGATAGTTCTGAGTTTTCTGATAGACTGAGCTTTTTCCTGAGTCATCTTTTGTATCCTTTCACAATATTCTGCTTGTGTTTTAGAAAAACTGGCAATGTCAGAAGATTGAAATATCAAAAGGCTGTCACCTTGCAAGAAGTGCTGACACTGTGTACATAACTGTATTTTATGTGTTGTAGAACTATCCAGAATTGTCAGGTTTAACAGGTAATTACAGAAATTACCAAGTTGTGATTTTTAAAGAAGTCTCACTTTTCTTTCCAAGGAAAGTGGCAGATGTGAAGAGGAAACCCAATATCTGATGGTGTTCTCCACGTGATATCTTCAAACTCTGCATTGTTATTGGCAATAATTATTTTGATTGCTGATGAGGTACAGGGCAATATTTTCATAAGTAGTAATAAAATTTTTGGAGGGATTATATCAAAAGGCTTTTTGTAGTATGGTGAGAATAAATTGGATTATCATCTATACATGTAGCAGGGAGTGATGATATGTTAGGGTGTTACCTAGGACATTACATTAAAAGTCATGTTTGTAACCATTACAAGTATGGTATAGTAGCACAACAAGTCCAGGCTCTTTTGCCTTGTTCCTCCGTGTTGGACCCCATTAATTTCCCATATTTATGTGTTTTTCTTGCAGTCCATAACATTTCAATTTCTCCAAGTATGGACTACTGTGAAGCTGATATTCTGGGAGTTAAAGTTGCTGGAGCTACTCTGGGGATCATTGGCATGGGCCGCATTGGGTATAAGATTGCTGTGAGAGCCAAAGCATTTGAAATGAACATTTTGTACCACAACAGGACACGGAGGTAAACATATGTCTTGACCCTAATTGCAGCAGAAACTCTTCCAGATAGTCAGTATTTTCTTTTCAAGGAGTTATGAAGAAATATAGCAAGAAATGAGGGAATAGAGCCAAGATTAAAACAAAAGAAAAAAAAAAGAATGGTTGCCTGTAAAGAGCAACAGTCCTGTAAATCAGTCCTGTAAAGAGTTAGTGATTAAACATCTGGAAACTTAATATATGTTTTGTATGAGAAATTTCAGGGTTTCTTGAAGAAAAATGGAAATCAACCTTATGCTTTTTTTATTCTTATTACATTGTACTGTGGTGACAACATAACTCTGTTTGTTGTTCATTTTTTCCCCATATTTTGAAGTTCAGGAGGGATATTTTGGAAATAGTGGAAACTAGGAAGCATATACTTGGCAAAATATGACTGAGAGCTGTTCTTAAGGAAACCTTGTTTTTTCTCAAGGCAGTTGGAATTTTAGCCAGTATTTAGGTAAATTTCACCCTTTTTTTCTAGTTCCTCCTAGCTTATGTATTTGGGAATCTGCACCTTGTTAGACATTTAGCACAGGGGCTCTTCAATTTGAGGTGAGCAAGACCCCCATGAACAACTCAAGGCCTTTGCAATCAGGCAAGGTGCAGATAATGAGCAGAACAAATATTTACTGCCATAAACTATGACCTACCCTGAGAGGACTTTACTCCTCTGTGACTGGAGGCAGAAGCTACAGTGCTTGGATGTGGCTTTCAGTGATTTTCACCATAGGCAAGACTGCTGGAGGAGGGTCACTGCTTTAGCTCGCTCTAGGCAAATCACAAGGGTGAATGAGGCCAGGAATTTTTAGCCATGCTTGGCATTCCTGTTTCTTCAGAAAAACAGATGAGCAAACTTACATTTAAAAGAAAGTACTGCTTAAGATATTTCAGAATTTCTTCACAGACCACAAAAAAAAAAATAAATTAAAAGGCACAAATCCCTTTATTCTTTTTTTGTAATGTGTATCATCCTCAACTCCTCTGTTTAATATTTTTCAATTTTTAAAGTAATATTTATGTAAGAGTGCTGTGATGAATTATTAATGCCCAGTGCAACAGAAATTAAAAGTCTAAAGTATATTTAAAGTACATTTACACTTTCAGCTTGTGTGCTGAATCAAGGTGCCCTCTGCATGCTGCAAAACTGGCTGCAGTTCCATTCTGTTCTTTTCCCGCTTAGTCTCTGGTCGTTGGCCTGAAAAAAAAATCCTGTGAAGTGCATTTGTTAGGAGAGACATGGGTCAAAGTTAAATTGAAGTTATTTTCTTAGTGTGATCTCTATTTCTAGATTAGGGAGGAGATAACTTAAAGCCCTTCTCTTGCAATCAGAAGCAGATGATTGTACACATGATCTCCTATCATTGCTTCTTTATTTCCCAAATTTACAGAGAACGTGAGAAATGGCAAGTATTCTTCTGCACTGTGGAAAGTCAAAACTAAAACTCTCTCTACTCTGGTAATGTTGTCTGCTGAACACTTTATGAATGTCCTGGGGCAGCCAGGAGCCTGGCAAAGAGCTGCCTTGCTGATTTCACTCATAAAAAAATGACAGGCTTACTGGGAGTGACAATAGGATGAGGACCACTGCCATGTCCAGAGCATGCATGGGTGAGTTCTGGTGAATACCATTCCTCTGGTTTGAGCAGTGATTGCATCCTTTGACATACACAGGGGATCCTGGAGAATGGACTGTGTGCTGCCATTTGCTTCAGTGCTCAGCCTTAGTTCATTTGCAGACTTCATAAGAAACCCTTGGAATCCTGCACTGGAGTGGCTGAGAGGCAGGCATGCAATCTATTTTGTGCTGTAGGGCTTGAAGCTCTCCAGAAGGATCTAAACACTGAGCTGAGGGTAAATTCACCTCTGTTTGCCACCTGTTTGCTATATGGATGTGTGGATAATCAGATCCTTTGTTTGTATTCTGGTGATACCATTGAAAAAAAATGTTTCCATGACTGAAGTACTTTTTTCCCCACTAGGAAAGTGCAAGAGGAGCAAGCTGTTGGTGCCACTTACTGCAAAAAGATAGACAGTTTGCTCCAGCAGGCAGATTTTGTGATGCTAGTGGTGAGCCTGACACCTCAGACACACAAGCTGATCGGGAAAAGAGAACTGGAGCTGATGAAACCCACAGCTACCCTCATTAACATCAGCCGAGGTACCATCCAGATCCATTGGCTGGCCTCACAGCGTGGCCTGCTGTGTCCCACAGCACCGTGCTGCATCCAGCACAGCTGGGGCACGTGGCGAGGGTGATCAGGAAATTCCTCCCTCTCCCTTTCCCTTCTCTCTTTGCTCTCTGCTCTTTGCCTGCCAGGTGCACTCAGGGACACTCTCATTCCACCCCAGGTGCAGTAGTTGACCAAGAGGCGCTGGTGGCAGCTCTGCAGACCGGTGTTATCAGGGCCGCGGCTTTGGATGTCACCTCCCCAGAGCCACTGCCCAGGTTGCCATCTCTGCTTATTCCTTGGGAAGGATGGGGGAGCCCTGCTGAGGCCAGAGGCATCCCTGCAGCAGGCAGGAAGCTGGCCCCCCTGCCCCTGGCATGAGCTGGGATAAAAGTGCCATGAATGGGAATGGGATGCAGCCCAGACACAGGGGCTGATAACAGACTAAAGGGAAGTCTGGGAGCCGGGAAACAGCAGGAGGCAGGGAAAATTTAAACCGAGTCCTTAGAATCACCCCCTGAAGCTGCAGCAGTGCTTCACTTGCAAATTGCTTTATTAGAAAGTGTAGCTTGCCAGTTTTAATGGGTGGAAGCTGCTTGAGGCCTAAGACCTGCCGCATAGGCAGGAGGTATCCTTCTCCACAGGCTTCTTTCCACAATACAAGGCTGAAGTACTGCGAATCTCTTGGGCCTAGAGACTGCTTAGCTTCTCTAAAAAGACTGCTCTACCAGGATGGTGCCTTTTGGAATAAACTGTGCTGGCTGCATTTTGGGTTGTGAGGAGTTTGGTCTTGTTGTGTCTGTGTGCAAATAACTACAGCTCAGACTATTGTGTAAGGTGAATGTGTCAGGAGGGCTTAAATCCTCTCTTCTGACATAGTTCAAATTTGCTGCCTCATGGCAGAAGTGTGTTTCTGGAGAGAAGAGCTACTTATGAAGTCTTTGCTTGTCCTATTGCAGTTCAAAATTACTTCAATATAGGTGCTCAGGGCTAAGTGGGACTTGTAGAGTTGTATCAAATTAACTTTAAATACTGTGCAAAAGCTAAAGTAAGACTTCTCTTTATTTAGATGAACAACAATAGTTAACTCTTTTTTTCTTTTCTTCCAGAGATCATGCATTGTTAAAATTAAAGAACGTCATTATAACACCTCACCTTGGCATTAAAACAGACAAGGCCACCTACATGATAACGGAGGAAGCAGTTGAAAACATACTAGCAGCCCTGAATGGTCTCCCCCTACCCAGTGAAGTGCTCCCTAGCTGATGTGTGAAAGGATATTGCGGATCTTTTCATTCTTCTCTTTATCTTTTTATTCTTATCTTTCCCCTGCACATCAGCTCTGAAGATCTTGTTAAATATAAGAATGTCCATACATCTCACTAAAGCTTCGAAGGAAGCAGTTTGCTATTGTGTCAGTTGTGTTTTTATAGTTTCTCTTGTCTAATACAGGTCCAAAAGGCAAATAAACACCCTGGGTGGTAGTGCTATGCCTTTTGTTATGTAGGATGACTTTATGAATAGTATTATTTATTCTTAAAATTTGTAGCAAAGTTGCCATTAAGTGCAGCCGGGATTTTGCCTGGAGCCTTAAGCATCTTTACAGAGCCTTTGTCTTGCAGGTATGCTGGCCAAAATACACTTTGTCCCATCACTTTTGCAGCTCCAGGAAACAAGACATTGCAGCTTTTCAGGCATAGCAAACTGGCTGTCAAGAATTTCAAGACTGACCCAGGGGCCTCCCTGCTCTTTGAGACACAGGTGCCCAGTACACATTTCATTGTTACATGTATAACTTTGAAAAAGTAAGTTAAATTTATTCAAAAATAAAAGGCTAAGCAATAAATTACAGAGCTGAAAAACAAGGTTACTGTACAATAAAAAAGAGGAAAAAAAAGCCTTTTCTTAGATCAATATCCCAAAACTGCAGAAAACACACAAGGCTTTTGCACATGCAAACTTTTCTCAAGTGAAGAAGCAAACAAAATCAGATACAGTGCTTCACATCTACTTAAACAATTGTACATGCTTGGCATTTGCTTGGAGTTTTACTCCTACATCTGCAGATATTTCTTGCAGATATTAAATGCATCACTTGGTTTGGCGTTGCCTGAAGATTTCCTGCCTCAGCTTTTTTTGCCTGTAAAAAAATACTGCCTTATAAAACTTAATGTAGACGTAGGAAATGTATGTCTTTTTCCAGCTTCATGCTTAAGCTATTCTGTACAACCCACCTGAGAGATGTATGCATTGCATTGTACAAAAGTCTTTTATGGTAATGCAATACTTCAAAGCCTAATGCTAAGAAACTACTATTATGCAAGCACCTTGTTAACACTGCAGGCTTCAGCTCACCCTGCAGGATTACATGGATACCAACAGCAATATTTAATGATGGGGATGAAGTCCACAGACTCTGCAATACTTCTCTCTGCATACCCACAGACCTCACTCATTTCAGTGCTCTGTGCAGCACTGGTATATCAGATCCCTTTTTGTAAGAGAAAATGGGCACACAGCAATGATGCACACACAGTGAAATTCAGCTTAACACACTACATGGAGGTCTGTAAGTTAGTCTACAAACTAAATATACTTAGAACATGATAGTGCACTGGTGCAATTGAGAACTTTTTTTGCACATATGATGCTAAACAGATATAATTTCTGTAAAGCTGTATCAGCTCCTGACCTATAGCTTGAAAATTGGATGTTCAAGTTGCACAAAACAGCTTTGAGAACATCCAATTCTCTCCACATCTAACCACATAACACACTCATTTTCTTGACATTTGATATGTATGACCTGGATTTTTGCTTGGAGTAACATTCCTTAGTGTGTTATTTTTTTGGCTCTTCTGACTAATTCCTCCTTCATTTTGTTCATTCAAATTTGTGGATTTGATGTACAAAGTAAACACTACTGTGTTGCCCTCCCAAGGATTTTTCTTTACCTTCAAGACTAAAATGTGGTAGGCCTTCTTCCTCAGACTTGTGTCTTTGAGAGGGACTTTACAAGGGTCCTTTGATCTCAGGTGAGCAGTAAGTTGAAAGCTTACTCATTACAATCTTACCACTAAAGCAGTTTGGAAACCTTTGATGTGAAAGAAGTAATGTGTAATCATTTTATGTGTTTTTTTAAAGGAAGAAAATGCCAGTAAACTTAACTAAGAATACAGTTAATGTTCTGTAACTCCTTATTACTAGTTAAGTAATCTTTGCTTCAAAGTTTAACTGTTTGAACTTGAAATTAATGTAAGCAACTGATACTCAAAAATCGTCACCAGGATAACAAGAACAATTTATGGTTTTGTGTAATCGATATTGTTATTATATTTTTTTTTATTAGCAATTTTATAGAGGTGTTAAACTTGACTGTCTTCACGTTCAGCATATCAAAGCGCATTTGACAGAATTCAAGACACCAGCAATTTGTAATCCATTCTTTTGAAAAGCACTACAGTAGTCACGAGAGACACAGCAGCCCCTATGGCTGGTTATTCCGTAGTGTGAAAGGAGAAAGATCACTGGATGCCCATAGCAGTGGTGTGTCCTGGCTCCTGAACTGCTGTGACCCCAGAAACCAGGCATCCTCCCCAGTGATGCACACACCTGCACAGCCAGGGGAATCACTTCAGCACAGCTTCTGAGAACTGAGAACTGAGGCTGTACTTCCCAGTGCCCATCACTGGATATGGAGATTGGGGGAGCAGGTTCTTCCCCTCTATTCTGCTCTTGTGGGATCCCATCTGGAATGTTGCATCCAGCCCTGGGGTCCTCAGCACAAAAAAGATGTGAACCTATTGAAGTGGGTCCAGGGAAGGTCACTAAGTTATCACAGGGTTGGAGAACCTCTACTATGAAGACAAAATGGGAGGGTTGGTGTTGTTCAGCCTGGAGAAGAGAAGGCTCAGAGGAGACCCTATAGCAACCTTACAGTAGCTATAGAGGGACTGCAGGAGAGCTGGAGAGGCACTCTTCACAAGTAGTGATAGAACAAGGGGAATGGCCTTCAATTGAAGGAGAGTAGGTTTAGGTTAGGTAGTAGAATGGAGAAGATTAGGAAGAAATTGTCTTTGAGGATAATGAGGCAACAGAACAGGTTGAGCAGAGAAGTTGTAGGTGCCCCATCCCTACCAATGTTCAAGACCAGGTTGGATGGGGCTCTGAGCAACATGGTCTAGGTGAAAGGTGTCCCTGCCTGTGGCAGGGGGTTTGGAAATAGATGGGCTTTAAGGTCCATTCCAACCCAAAACCATTCTGTGATTCTATGATACAGGCCAAGTAACCTTGTCAGAAAAATTCTCACATATTCTCATCTGAAGTTGGCATAGGACTGTCTGTAGCTGAGCTAACATCTCAGGTGTCCAAGCACCTGAGCCTGCCCCAGCTGCTTAGCTCTCAAAGAGAGATTTTTAGGGTATTCCTAGAATCATATAGGTTGGAAAATACCTTCATTTGTACAGTGAGAGCTGTCACTGGTGTCGGTTGGTCAGAGACAACTCTTAAGACTCATATGCACAGCATGTAATGATCAGCAGAAAGGCCAGACCACGGCCGGTTTCCAAAGACAGTATGGAAAACACAGCACGCAGGACGCTAAGGCAAAATCCCGACTGTACTGAAATCACGAACAGCACAGAAACACCCCTACAAAAACACACAATCACTCGTGAGCTCCCCTTGCTCTCTCTCCGAGGGATTGGGGTGCCCGTGCCGTGCCCTGGCGCCGCCTCTCCTCCCCGCCGGCCGCGCAGGCTGCCCGGGCGGGGTGCGGGCGGCCGGGCCGTGCCCGCCTCGGCGGCCGCTCCCGCTCCGCCCCGCGGTGCGCAGGGAGCGGCGGGCACGGCCGGCGGGTGAGTGCGAGCGGCACGGCGGGACCGCGCCGGGACCCCTGTGCCGGGCGGGGACAGGGCCCGGGCCCCGCGGGCGGCTCCGGGGGCAGCACCGGGCGCGGGAGCTCCGCCCGGGCTGGCAGCGGGAGGGATCTCGCCCGTTCCCAGCCGCCCTTCAGAGCTGGACAGAGCCCGCGGCCGCCCTCCAGCTCCCTCCTATCTTTAGTCCTGCCGGAACAGTGGAAAGCGCTCCGCCCGCCCTGGGCAGGGAGAACTTGCCGGGACACCGCGCTCCGGGGCGGGTGGCCGGGGCACAGAAGGGGGAACTGGCCCGGCCGTGCCGGGGCGGGAGCACTGCCTCTCGCAATGAGGTGCGGCGTGAGGGGGTCTCGGCTTTAACCTGAGATCACAGCCTTGGCTCTTTGCAGAGTCACCAGAGTGAAGAGTTGGCAAAGCACTGAAGGAGACTGAAGAAAGAAAGAAAGAAAGGGTAAATTTACATTCATGGGTAACTCCAAAGTTCCTAATTGACAATTTATAGCTCTGTTACATTAAATGAGATTTTTACTGAAATAATCTCATCAATGATAATTGCTTAGTATAATTGCAAAAGTGGCAGAATTTGCAGACAAAAGATACCTTTCCACTCACATGACCACATTCTTAAATTGAAGACTTTGGCTTTAAATATTGAACATTGAACAGGAGTAACAACTGGTTACTCATTTGTGTAAGTGTTAGCATACTTGGTATGTCAAAAATGTTTTCTTGTTAACAAGATTATATAGAAATTGAACATCCTTCTGAATAACACAGGGAGAAACCAAAAGACTTCTGCATGTGTGAGTGGTTATCTTTAGCCAAATCCTTCATCAAGTGAGAAAACAGCACATAATTGAGCCAATCAATTTCTGGTTTTTAGAAAAAAAAGTAAAATGGATCTCTTCAGATCATGCCCTTTTGGTTCTCTTTGCTTTTGTAGGGCATGGAGAGTCAGGAACTGCCTTATGTGCTAGTTGACTGTATAGGAGGGAGACTTGGAGTATATGAAGACCATCTTGGATTTCTGAAGAAACGTTTTCATCTCATCACCATGAAAGAATATCTTGAAAACAAGACACTTCTCAGCAAAAAGATCAGAGCTATCTATGTGTGGTATCACAAACCAGCTATTAATGAAGATCTGCTCCAAAGCCTGCCTAACTTGAAGGTAGTTGCAAGTGCTGGAGTGGGAATAGATCACTTGGATCTGAAACTCCTCTCCAGCTATGGTGTGAAGGTGTCCAATACTCCATTTATTGTTTCCACTGACACTGCAGACATGGGGATGGCTTTGATGCTGGCATCTTCCAGGAGACTTGTGGAAGGTAATAACTTAAATGATCTTAGTTTTTGCATAGAAAAGATGACTTCAAAACATGCAGAAAATGTGTGCTGATGCAAAAGTAAGCTTAACACTAGAAATATGGGAAATAGGGGCAAAGGAAGAAGTTAAGACAAATCTGTCTTGTTGACAATAACTGGCATCCTATTTCCAAACTGGCATATTGGCAAGGTAGAGTGGTTCCTTCTCTGGACAGTTCTAAATTCAGGCCTCTTCTCCCTCAGCCCACAGCCGCTTATTCATTGTACTTGTTCATTGCAGTCTTGCTTTTCAGGTTGCAATAAAAGGGAATTAAAAGAATGTATTCTCAAGGAGGTTTGATGCCTGACTTTGCCAAGCTGCCATGTATCTGAGTCATTATGAACAAGAAATCTGCCCACCATGCTCTGTGTTTCTTTTCCCTGCCAACCTTGGTATATCTGCAAGGAGGCTGGGAATCAGAAGCCCTTACTGCTGCTTTGGCCTTGCCTTCCTTGCTTCCTTTCTTGCCAGAGAGAGGCTGAGCATGTTTCTCTCCTGAGCAAGAAATCAGTGTCAGCAGTCCTGTGTACAGTGCAGCATTACTCACTTATTGTCCAGAAACAATATATTACATGATGATACATTACTGCTTCTGTGCTTCTGCCTAGTCCTATGATAAAAAGTGTGTGTGGGGGGGAAGTAACCAGATGCTGGAACATCCTTTAGATTACATAATTCTTCTTTTGCTCTTCCAAGGCCATGAGATGGCAGTCTCCCCTGACACAGAGTATTTCCCCGTTGACTGGCTGGGGGTTGAGGTTTCTGGAGCAACCCTGGGAATCCTGGGAATGGGCAAAATTGGTTACAAAGTGGCTGAAAGAGCCAAAGCCTTTGAAATGAAGATTTTGTACCACAACAGAAATCAGAGGTAAAGCTTGTTGCAGTTCTAAGGCAACTCTATTTTGTCGCTCCTTTTATGTGTTATTTGTACTTTTCGCTGTGCTTTCACTTTTTGCAGTGCTCTTTATTTTAAGTGGAAAAGTACATACACATATTCCAAGATGGTCGTTAATTTCCCAAATTTTACAGAAAGAAAGTCAGGAAGGAATGGGAGAGATATAATTCACTGTTCTCCCTGTTAGTTGGGGCTGCTGGCTTCTTGCTGCCATGGTGGTGACATTGCAATGGACTGGAAAGGAGAAAACTGGCAGGACTTAACTCCTGTGATTTAGGTGAGGCAGGGATTCAGGCAGAGACATCTCACCCTTCCAAAGCCACGTGACAATATAGGGCCAGACTTGCCAGTCTGTTTGCTGTCTTCTAGATGAGGTGTATGTGCCCTGTGCCCTTGTGCTCCCATCAGGCCCATTCCATTCTTTTCTTTTGTGGGAATTTGATGAGAGCCAGCCAACCTCATCCTGATACAGATCGAGTGTGCCAGCAGGTTCTGCAGCGCGTGGTTTCAGCGAACCAGCACTGATGCACAGCACAATCAGGCTGTTGCTGACATAGATTTGGGAAGATTTAATCCCTGCCCTGTCTTGTCGGTTTAAGTAAGTAATTTTCACATTACTTACTTAAATTACTTGATTTTCACAAGACATCGGTCTCGCTTTTTGGTAGGAAAAGAATCCCTAGCACAGAAATTGTGACAAAGATGCATTTGGTTTATCATTTATTCAGTGCATTTATGTGATACCCATTTCTTACTTTCCATCCCCACCATACTGCACATTTGTGTACAGTTCACTTGGTATTGTGGGAAATAGCTTGATCTTTTTTTTACTGAGTTTCAGACAAGCAGCTAACTGCTTTGAGCTACACAGCAAAGATAAAGATACATTTAAAGATAAAGAAACATTTTCTCTACTGGTGATTTGACATTTCCCTTGTTTCTTGCTACTGCAGTTTAATTTTGGGATTTTTTCCTTCAGAAAAAAGGAAGAAGAAAGTGCTGTTGGAGCTATTTACTGTAAGAAGATAGATGATTTGCTCCAGCAGTCAGATTTTGTATTATTGGCTGCAACCCTAACTCCACAGACACACAAAATGATTGGGAAGAGGGAGCTGGAGCTGATGAAACCCACTGCTACTCTTATTAATATCAGCAGAGGTAAGGTGCAGAATAAACAAAACTGCATTAAAGTTTGGTGGCATGACAAGTCCTGGGAAAACCTCCAATATAGAAGCTGTCCCTCTGAAATTTTCTGATTATTAGTTTATTTAGACACCCATATCAGTATATCTCAGTAAAATATTTAAGTGTTCCCATAATAATGAGAAAGTAGACCTCTGAAATGTTAGTGACCTTGGAGTGTTAGAAGCCCATGTGTATCTATATATCACCTACTTTAGCTTTTTATTTATTTAATGTAATGTTGCTGCTCACACACATTAGGGTGGCACAGCCCACCCTGACACCTGGCACTCGGTTTCATTCTGCTAATTCCCTGATGCACATACCCAGGCTTCCCACTCCCACTCCACTGCTGCTTCTGCACTGTGACCATGGCCTGCCCTGCTGTTTGCCTCACCACTTCATCCAAAAGAATACTGAGAGGACATGAAAATAAACATATCCTTCTTACTGTAACCCAGGTCTGATAGTGGATCAGGATGCTTTGGTGGAAGCCCTTCAAAACAAAGTTATTAAGGCAGCTGCTCTGGATGTGACATATCCTGAACCTTTGCCAAGGTAGGACATGTATTTATGTTAAAAATAAAAGGGTGTATGTGTGATGTTCAAACTGACTAAAATTTTGTTAATAGGAGTATATGAGGTATGTGCACTGGTCCTGCTGAAACTTTGTCCCTAATCCTGTTTCAGCCAAATAAAATTCACACTTACTTATTTGGAGGATTTGTTGCATAAAACCCCACCAAGCTAGGCAGCACTTTGAACTCCTCTGAATATACTTGGGTCATGCAATTAGGTTTTGTTTTATTTTTAATTATTATTTTCCCGGCCTGCAATACTGATGAAATACTGATGAGTGTGCTGTGAGTGACTAGTTCAGCATTTCTTTTCCTCTCCCAGGGATCACCCCTTGTTAAAGCTGAAGAATGTTATAATAACTCCTCACATCGGAAGTGCCACCAAGAAGACGCGCTGGGTTATGATGGAGGAAATGGCAGAGAGCATAGAGGCAGGCCTGGCGGGTCTTCCTATCCCTCGTGAGGTGCTGCCCTGAGCAGCTTGCATTTAGGATTAATGCCATCAGTGCAGAAGCAGCAATTTGATCACTTTCCATGTAATTACTTCGTGTAATTTCGTGTTATGCAGATAAAATATATAAATCACGGGTTCAATTTATTTAATATCCAGCAGCAGTTCTGTGTGGAAAACTGCAGTGTTTTGTCTTGATCTTCAATGGAAAAGTCCGGAGCACCGAGTCTTGCCTCAATGTTATCTACTTTCCTCGCATCCCCTTACAGCTGTCCGCCGATGCAGCAACGAATTGAAGGACATGTAAATGGTGTCTTAGAGGAACCGCCCGGCACAGCCACAAGCGCAGCCGGCGTATCGGGGCGGCTCCTGCCGCCGCTCCGGCAGCAATCCCGGCCCTTGGGTGCGCGCTCCCGCCGCGGGTCAGTGAGGGAGCCAGCGTCTGAGTGCGAGCCCTGCCCAGCCTGAGGCCTCTCTCCCTCCTTTCCTCTCTCCTTCCTTCTTTCCCTCTCCGGGATCGGCCGGGACACCCGCAGCCGCGGGCCCGGGCCTCCCTGCCGGCAGGGGGAGCCGCAGCCGGAGCCTGAGGCACAGCCGGAGCGGAGGTGGGAGCTCCCCGTGCCGGGCCGGGCCGCGGGCAAGGCCAGCAATGTGGGGCGCCCGGGTGGCCGTGGTGCCGCGGTGCTGCCGGACCCTGCGCAGCTCCGCAGCCCTGAGCGGCTCCAGGAACTTGCTGCGGAAAATGCTCCGCAAGAATAAGTAGGTGCAGGGCCCTGCCGGGATGGGCTATGGCCGCTGGGGCAAGGGGAGTCAGAGGGGTGTGAGGCTCGGGCGCAGCCCCGGCACCGCGGAGGAGAGAGAGACACCGACCCCGAGCCGCCGGTCTGAACTGGTCGGCAGCGGCTGAATTTGTGCCCAGGTGGCCAAGAAGGCCAATGGCCCTGGCCTCTACCAGCAGTAGTGTGTCCTGCAGGACCGGGCCACTGATCGTCCCTCGGTGCTCTGGGCTCTGGGTGAGGCCACACCTCGGGTGCTGTGTCCAATTCCGGGCCGCTCTGTACGGGAAAGACATCGAGATGCTGGAGCATGTCCAGTGAAGGGCAGCGGTGAAGAGTCTGGAGCACAAGTCCTGTGAGGAGCAGCTGAGGGAGCTGGGGGTGTTCAGCCTGGGGAAAAAGAGACTCGGGGGGGACCTTATCACTCTCTACAACTGCCTTAAAGGAGGGTGTAGCCAGGTGGGAGTAAGTCTTTTCTCCCAAGAAACAAGTGACAGGACAGAGGAAATGGCCTCAAGTTGCACTAAGGGACATTTAGACTGTATATTGCGAGAAATTTCTTCACTGAAAGGGAAGAATGGTCAAGCAATAGAACAGGATCCCCAGGAAAGTGGTGTAATCACTGCCTCAGGAAGTGTTCAGAAAACGTGTAGAAGTGGTGCTTAGAGACATGGTTTAGTGCTGGACTTGTCAGTGCTGGGTTAACCATGGGACGTGGTGATCTTAGCCCTGTTTTTGAACCTTAATGATTCTCTGAATCTAAAGAAACCTGAGAGCTGTTGTTTTCCACCCTCTTCCCAGCTATGTGCAGCTTCAGCTGTGGGTGGGAAGAATTGCTCCCTGCACCCCAGCTGTAAGGATAGCCACTTGTATGGGTGTTGTGTCCTCTCAGGCAGGTGGAATATTAATTACACAGAGAATCCTTATTTCTCTGAGCTACTGAAAGATAAGGCTGATTTCCTTTCCTTTTCCCAAAAGAAAGAAGTATTGGTACGACAGCCCTACCCTGGGATCACAAACGGTAAGTGCAAGCTCTGAAGGCAATTTGTTTATTTGTGCCAGGAGGAACAGACTTGTGTTTCTGCCATTGATTCTAACTTTGAAGCATTTTCTGATGGAGAAATAGCAGGATTTTGTGAGCAAAGAGTAGGGCTCCAGTCTGACTGCGACAGGGTTGTCATTCGGCTTCATCCTTGCCCGTATCCATGCTCTCTTGCACACTCCTGAGTACTGATTCAAATTAAAACTTCTATTCATAGAAGTTAGTTGAATGAAAACTTTTTTAATGTTTGTTTTTCAAACAAGCAAAACTTTTCAGTTTTGCTTGTTGTATTTCAGTCATGCATGCTGTGTTTGAGAAAACAGATCTATGGAGCTTCATAACTTGCTACAAAATACACAACGAACTTTAGAAACTTTGACTGTAGTACACGAATGTCAGAGATTTTGTGAACAGAAGTATTCTATATTGAAACACTTGATATATAGGACTTCTATAAAGCCATCACAGCTGCAATAATGAAATAAGAGCATGCTTTGTAAAGTGCATGAAACTGTATATAGTTGCCTAATAAAGTGTGTAACTACTGTTTAATGTGTTGTTTGTTTCTTTTTATAGTTGTATAAACCAACCAAGTTGGACTTTTTAAAGAAAAATGACCTTACAAAAACAAGGAAAGAAGACAACGTGCGCTGCAGAGTCTTGAATGGGCTTATTCATAAAGCTGTGTTAGAGATGGCCACTACCTGTGAAGTCAGTCAAGAATTTTATGATCTCAAGCTGGAAATCTGCAAGGCAAGTGCCAAGGCTACAGCTTGTGCTGAGCCACTCTGATTACGTTGTGAGGTTGGCATGGACATGCCAAAGGAGCTCCCCTGGGTGTTGTGATGTGTGCCAAGAGGAGTTTTACTGTATTGCTTCTGATGTGGCAGAGTGCAGCAATCTGGCACAGGAGTACACATGAGCAGAGCTTTGCCTCTGTAGTACCTGACTTAGGAGACCTTTGCCACTCTAACGCAAATGCAACTCAGGCCAATTAAATGATGATTCTCCTGATATGACTTTTTTTCCTATTACTCAGACATAAACTCTTTGTCTTGCCCTTTCAGAAGGAAGAACATGTTTTTATGAACATAAGTGTATCTTTCCAAGAGTCTCTTCTTCTTGTAGCTGTGTGAGAGTTGTCACCTGCTTGTGTCACTCCCCAGCAATGTTATTGGCAGAAGACCTAAGTGATGCATGAGATTAGTTCAAAAAAAAGGCCAAGCCTAAGAAAATGTCATTGTCAAACCAGATCTGAGAAAGAATTGAGATTTGTATGTAATTTTATCTAGTGGTGTCATAATTTGTGGATTTGAAAGGGAAGTTAGAGTTCTGATACAGGAACTAAGTGTCTGCATTCTTTTTTGTTGTCTGCAGTTTTTATCATCTACATTTGCTGTTCTAGAAAGATTAAATTATACCAGTGTTTGGCTTAAAAGCTTGGTGGACTTAACTTTGATATTAGAAGCATGGAAAATGATACCTCATAGCTGCATCTATGACAAAAGAGTTGTCATTCATTACTAAAATAGATGTTTTTTCCAGCTGAATTCATTCTATTGTCAGACAAGCATTCAAAACTACATGGACAAGATGAGTCTTTCGGCTGTATATGTGCAGCATCCTTCACAGAGTATTTCTGTCTCACTAGAGCTTGTCTCAGATCAAATGTCTGCATGTAAAAATGCTGGCTGGTTGTGGGCAAGACAGTTCTTTCAGGAGGCATTGCTGTAAATTAAACAACTTATAACGTGAGAGATGGAAAGAAACAGCCTTCTTCCCAATACAATACAGATTTTATAGCTGCACAGTGTTTGTGCTGCACTGGGACATGGCTGGGTGTAGATCAGTCCTGATTTACTCATAAGCTGATTCTGGTCGGATATCATCACTTCTGTTATCAAAAGACATTTTCTATTAGGCCCTCTGCAGTCCATCACAGACTTCATTGTATATGAGGTTTGTGTGTGTATATGTCATCTTAAAGAGAGATTTGCCTTTTCTCTAGGTGTCCCTGTCATCCAACTTTTCAGCGTGCCGTGTGTACTGGAACCCCGCTTCCACTGTGGAGAAGGACAGTTACATTGAAAGTGTGCTGCGAAAGAGTGCTCCACGTATACGGTACTGCTGGGGGATAGACAGGCCCCTTCCTCATCCAGAGCCATTTCTTCAGGACTTCTGACAGTCTAGACCTGACCTGTTGGGATGCCTTAGGTTTTTAGAGACTTGGAGTAGAGCATCTCATCATCTCTGTGATGAGCCTCATGGGGAAGGGTGGCTGTGTCAGACCAGCTATGTGATCTTTTGCTGGAGCACAGCTGGCTTTTTTGGCTTCTATGCCTTTCCTAGGGCAGGAGTGGGTCAAGCAGAAAGCAAGAGGAGTGTGGCACAGATCTCACTCCAGTGTCCTGGTGGTGGTGGCTTATTACAGTGAATCCACGATGTAACACATGACAGAACTCTCTTCTGGTCATCAGACAACAGCCTCGTTTATTGTGTCTGGCCCCCTTTTATCCCATTCCAAACTCCTGGGTCGAGACAGCTCATTGGTCTGTCTGTGCCCCCACACTCTGAACCAATGAGATGCCTGCATCCTAGGAGAGCCCCCTTTATCTGTGAGCTTTTGTGGGTCAGCCCAGAGGCTGCTCCCCGGAGCTGAGCTGTGCTGCTTATTGTGACTTGATCAATACTACTACAACAGTGGCTGGCCAGGCTGTGTGGGACAGGAGCCCAGAATGGGATGCTGTACAGGGGACTGACAGCTGCAAGGATCTCCTTGCAGATTCACTGGGCAGTTCTGATTGCTGGGGATGATTTAGGCCTCCAGAAAAGGATGACTGTTATTACAGTAGTTCTTCACAATACTGATACCAAAAAACCCCCCCAAACTGAGAATGCTACCATTTGTTGTGATGCTTTCCCCCATTTTTCCAACACAGAGTCCAGTGATTTTTCATGGTATCATTGAGATTTTTGTCTCTTCCTCCCTTTCCTTGGCTTTCCCTCTGCTATCCAGGCAGTCTGTGGGAAGTTCAGGACTTCACCCATGTGGCAGGTGGCATAGAAGCATACTTGTAAAACCATTTCCTTTCTCCCTGTTTCCATAAGCTGTGTAATTCCTGCTCCAGCACAATGCTCCCTTCTACTCCACAGCTTCCAGTCTTTAAGAAGGAAAGTTGCTTCTGGGAAGAAGAGAAGGGGACCCCTGTCAATCCTTCCTGCAGCTAGCATGTAGGATAAGTTGTCTTGCCCTGCTCTGAGGGCTGTATCCCCCACTGCTCTTATCCCTACAGAGGGGATAAGGATACCAAATGAAGTGGGGAAAGACCTGTGC